ACAAGTATGGCGAGCTCGCATCACTGTGCCGGCAGATATGGTCGTCTACCCGGATGACAGCATGCAGGGTACGCGCATTGGTGCTGGATGGGCGGGTGAATGGGTGGTAGAGTCAGACGGGACGAAGGAGGGCTTGAACGCGTTAATGGACGCGGAGGAGGGTGGTCAGCGGGTGTGGGAGGTGGTGAAGGCGAGGAGTCGACCTGGGAGGGTTTGGTTGAGGTGAGCTAGCTCTCTTATCAATTTTCCTTTCTTTTGCGTCCTTCGATGAGGCCACCACCTCCATTGCATTTTCAGGCGTTGAGCCTTCTATCGCGACGGAATCAGTCGTTCTATCCCTTTCCGTGCTCCGTTGCGTCTACGCGAGTTTCTTCCCGCCCACAGCCGTGCTGTGTGAGCCTTGGAAGAGCGCGTGTAGACCGCGGATCACGTCTTCTTCCTATCAAACCCTTGCAATGGCTTCCTTTTGCTCTGCGTTCTTCCTGTTATCGCCCTCTGCGCAAGGAACTCGACGACTAACGCATTCTTCCAGGCTGGTCAGCACGCCGCCGGCTCCTTCCAATGGAGACAAGCCTCAGCAGCTCGTGCAGCGACTGATGTAGTCCTACTAGAGCTGTCCATACCCCGAAAAAGAAGTCCAATGTCGGCATCTCTATATCAACCATTCACGACACCCACGAATGTTCCTCAAGCCCCGTCACTTATCTATTCCATTAGATTATCCGATTTCACCAACCTTGCCACCATCGCTGTATCGCAATTATATCCACTGTCGAACCTCACTTCCAACCTGTCAGGGTCATCCATCGTTCCACCGCTACATCGCATGTTGCATTTCTAATTTCCCTCCTGGACTTTCATTATTTCATTCTTTGTGTGGACTTTCTTTATGGCCACTTGCGGACTAACACGATTCCTTCGGCGGAGGTATCCTTGATGTTGTTTCTCATTGTTCATGCCCTTGAACTTTCGGACTTCTCTGCTAGTTGCCGCTATAACTGCTTAATATAGCCAATGTATGGACGGATGAACAAGTACAGTAGAACAACGTCGCATGAACTCTTGTCTTTATCAGCCGATGCTACTCAATCTCGAAATATGACCTGTGCACAGTCGCCCCAAGACTCAGGTCGAGACCACACACGCTAAGAGATAAGACACTCATGACGTAGCAAGGCCGATAGCAAAACCCTCTGGGTCCTGTTTCGCCTCCTGTCCGCATATTTTCTTGATTCAGACTGACTTCGACAGCTGGCAAGGCCAGGTTACAGCAATTGGCATGTAGTTACGTAAGCTCAATACGTGCGGAAGCTTTTGTTACTCTGCCACAGGGCCGGGTGGGACGCGGTGACTCCGTCGCATACGGCCATCTCCTCATCGTCGATTCTCTCCTTTCCAACTTTACGACATGGCTGACGGAGAAAGCATCTCTCTGGAAGAGACAAACAAGATCCGAATCTCGCTTGGTCTGAAGCCCCTCACAGCCGACTCGCCTCCTGCAGCCTCAGAGGACCAGCTTGCGGAGAAGAACTATGAGGATGAGCGCGAACGGCAGCGCAGGGAGAAGGATGCACAGTACGTCGTGTGCCATCGATTGTCGGACCGAAGCTAATGTAACGCGTTCTGCTCCGTATAGGCGGATAAAGGCAGCTGCTGATAAGTGAGTCCATTTCCCATCCCGTGCAAAGCACTCTGCAACTCCTTCTTTGGCATAGATCTCGTTGCTCATTGCCTCTCTGCTCTGTAGGGCTCGTAACAAACGCGAGTTGAATAAACGGCTAAAAGGTGCAACTCTCGGTGATGCAGATGCTTCACTTGACGATGCCAAATCATGGCTGAAGGCGAGCAAGCGCCGAGAAAAGGAGCTCGCTGAGCGTCGACAACGCGAGCTAGAGAGCATGGACCAGGTCTTCCAAGGAGAGGATTACTCCGAAAGTGAGCTGGTTTCCTCTATTGCTTATTTCAAGAACTGACCCTTCTTCGTAGAGGACCTCCAAGGCTTGAAGGTCAGCCATGATCTGGACGCCATCGACGAAGGACAGGAGCGTATACTTACCCTCAAAGACAGTCGTATTCTGGATAATGAAGGTTCGTCAATTATGCTGCAGCGATAAACGAAATACTGATAGGCATCGTAGAGGACGAGCTGTTCGATGAAGAGATGGATCGGGCGGAGAAAGATCAGAAGCGCCACGAGCTCAAGACGAAGCGTCAAGACTACAAAGGGTATGACGATGAGGAGTTTGCGGGTGGAGAGTTTGGCAAGCGGTCTGTCTTAGCCAAGTACGATGAGGACATCAACGGAGCTTCTGAATCGGTATGCGTTGTCAGCTACTCGATTGTCGCATATCTTGACAAACCTCCTCAGGGCTTCCGCATCGGAGGGCCGTCTCGCCCAACCAAAAAGTCTCAGCGAGCTGTTGAAGAGGCAGCGGCAGCAGCGGTGAACAAGACCCTGCTTAGCATCGATTACTCCAGTCCGTACTTTCACGTATATGCGCGTTGTTCCTCTGACGTGACTTTACAGAAAACCTTGAGATTACCGATTATCTGAAAGAAAGCGAGGTGGGATTTAAGAAGCCAAAGGTGAGTATCATAGACCAGACACGATTCTTAAACTGATTATCCACCCAGACGAAGAAAAAGAGGTCCACGCGCAAAGTTGAGGTGGATCCTGATCTCGTAGCGCCCAACGACACATCCACCACCAACGGGGAACACAAGGAGCAAGATGCTATGGATGTAGATGTCAAGCCGATCGTATCGGCTCCTCGCGTGCGGGACCTCGACGCAAACTTCGTTGACGATGACGAGCTACAAGCGGCATTGGCACGATCCCGACGTGCAAGGACAGCTAAAGTCAAGAAGTGGGCGCCAGAGGAAATGGTTCGACAACGTATGCACAATCCCCTGACCCTCTCACATGTATTGATTGTTCTCACAGTCATAGAGGACAAGAAAGAGATTAAAATGGAACCTGAAGATTCTGAGGCTCCTGCGGAGGACAACGGACTTACGTTCGACGACACGACCGAATTCATCCGAAATGTTGCGTTGCAGCCTGTTGTCGTCAAGCTGCAAACTCAGCCGAAGCGAGAGCCCCAGGACACGACCTCCGCACCGTCCCCAAGGGTGAAGGATGAGCCTATGGATGAAGATGAGGTGATGAGTGAACTGGAGGCGGGTGAGGTGGACGAGGATGAAGAAATGAACGACGAAGAGATGCTGCAAGCTATCGAGAGCGTGATTCAGGAAGCTGAAGCAGCCGTGAAGGAGGAAGAAGTGAACCGAGAGGTATGCGCATATTTGGACCAGCTGAATCACGTGCTGATGTTTCCTCAGATTGGCATTACGGACGAGCCTATGCTACAAGGTGCAGGCCTCGCGGGCGCTCTTTCGCTTCTTCGTCAACAGGGTCTTATCGCCAAGGCGGACACGTCTGCTACAGATCGTGAGAAAATCCAGAGAGAGAGGGATACCTGGCTTGCCGAACATCGTCGTCGGATTGCCATTCGCGAAGTGGATCGTATGCGATCTCGCGGTGGCAACTCGGCTCAAGGCACTAGCGCGTCGGACGCTCGTGAAGTAGCGCGGCTCTATGAAAGCTACAAGCCAGATGTCAACATCGAGTACCACGACGAGTTCGGCCGGACACTCACTGCAAAGGAGGCATGGAAGGCGCTATCACATCGCTTCCATGGAAAGGGCTCTGGAAGATTGAAAACGGAGAAGCGCTTGAAGAAGATCGAGGAGGAGAGAAAGAGGGAAGCTATGGCAAGTGGAGACACTCCGACCGGAATGAATGAGGCGTTCCAGGCGCGGCAGGAGAGGATCGGGCAAGCACATATGGTGCTTTCTGTTGGTCAAAGAGGGTGAGCTCATTCAAGTGGACGCACAAAGATCATCTAGCTGACCAATGATCTTCATAGTGCTGTACCACAGGCCGCAGATGTGCTGGATCGCGAGGCACTCGCTAAGAAGCCGAAAGAGAAGACGAAGAAGAAAGAATTGTCAAAGCTCTCGCAGTCATTCACGAATGGTGATCCGCACGGCCTTATCAATGTCACCTTGCCGACCTCGGCCAATCTCCCGGCGTCGCCAGCCAATTTCTCTTCCGAGGTTTCTCCCTCACCCATGCCGGAGAGGTTCATGAGGCCAGCCTTCGCACGGATATCATCTGTTGAACCGTCGCAGAGCGCACCCGGGTCGGGTGGTGCCAGCCCGCTTGTGAACGGAGAGAGGACGAAGGTCGCCTTCGGTTTGAAGAGGAAAGCCGCGGACGAGGGTGAAGGCACGCCGCCCTCGAAGAGGCGCTAGCGGACGTTTCAATAGCACGTTCACATCATGTATGTGCTTCTCGTGTACACCAATTATGAGGATGGTACGTTCTGTATGCTCTAGCGCATTCCTCTTTCATATTGTCAGCCTCGTGATCATCTTAAACCACATCGAGCCGAGATTGGAGCACAGGCGAACAACTGCGCGCACGGGTTCTCCATTCTCTCTACCGTGAAAGAGATCCTTGGTCATCTGTGGATACACGGTACCAACGGGGAACATGCTCACCCTCTTAGACCAACATAACACACTATACGCGCCTGCCCAATCCTTTGTTGCCGCGCCTGGAACGCCGTCAGAACGCCTTACTCATGCCGGTCGGAGTATCTACGCTCGGAGCATCTACGCTCGCCATAGCCTCTCTCTTCCTCTCCTCATCGATCTTCTTCAGGGCCCCTCCGTTTTCAATCTTCCGGTGCCCATTCCGTAGAAGCGATGTGATAGCGCCTTCCATGCCTCCTTTGCAGTGAGTGTCCGGCCGAACTCGTCGTGGTACTTGATGTTGACATATGATTGCGTGCAGGGGTCCAAGAAGTCCGCTGCCGACACTGGTCCGAGACGCGGACCACGGAAGCAAACAGAGGACCCTAGTTCACCGGCAATCGGCCCGCGGCCGGTCACTCTACCTCATGGGATACCGAAAATCTCCTTCTAACTAAGGAGGCAACTTGGCGCAGTTGGCTAGCGCATCTGTCTAACACGTGTGCCGCAGTGGGCGTCACGTGATCACAGAAGGCCGTCAGTTCGAGCCTGACAGTTGTCACTCTCCTCTTCTTTTACCGTCTTTCTCTTTCGTTTGGGCTTTCAAAACACCCCTGAATCGAAGACTTTTCATCCGGGGCAGCCTCTTGGCTTGCGGTGAGTCGAGCATAGCGGTAAGCAAGGCGTTTTCAATGGAGAAGTTAGGTCAGTTTGAGGTTCCTGGCATGTGGAGGAGGAGGCGAAGCGCAGGATGCTCGCGGCTGAGAGCGGGTTCCTCGTCGCTGTGCAGGGTACAGGGAAGGCGCGCAGTATCGGACTTGGCAAGGTCGATGGGGTGCAGGGTGTACTCAAGAGGACTGCGAAGGAGAAGATCTCTACCGTCGACAAGCTCAGGGCCACCTTGCTGAGGAACACGTTACGGAAGTCGGATCCCTTTCGTTGCTTTCGGGATGAGGGGAGCCTGAGCTCGTTTATCTAGGCTGTATCACTATGTGCAGTATTCATATGTACGACATATAGACCACTGTATCATACCCCCGCATATTGTACACTATCTGCAGTTATCGGTGTTATCTCTCTTTATCTTCCGCTAGTGGAGCAGCCCCTCGCGAGTCGTCCTCGCTCGCTGCTCTCGCAACTTCTGGATGAGCTTGGTAGGCATATAAATCAGTTGACAACGACGGTGGGACAGACAACAGAAAGGGACCAGGACAGTCACAGCGATGGAGGTTTGTCCTCTTCTACACTCAGCGTCCGACACCGCGGGTGTGCCTTTACCACACCATCGGGAACCAAACAGTGCCGATCATAAAAAAGATTTCCAGATTATGGGATCCGTGAGCAACAGAACGTCGACGAGAGGTGATAGTATGTTATAAACAGGATATCTGAATCACGCCGTCTTAGTGAGGGAAACAACGTGGTCGGAAAGCTTTTCCTCGTCTCCTCCGTGCTCCAATTGTTCGCACCAACATCCTCCGCGTGGTTGTCCCTCCAGAACGTGCCCTATACGAACTTCTCCGAGAGCAGCGGGCTCACCAGCCACTCGCCCGCCGTCGATGCTGATACAGTGATGGGATACACAAGGAGGAGCAGCAGCTTCCCCGCAAGCGCACTGATGAGGGGCGTGCGGACGCCGCCGGGAAACATGTGCGTGAAGGACATGTTGGGGTGCCGGCGGTCCATCCCCTGGATTCATGTCATTGACCGAACCTCGGACGCGAAGGTGGCCGATACACTGTGTCATAGACGGCTGTGTTTACTTGGCCACACAATTGGTAACATCAAAGTCATGCAGGTGTTTGGAACATGTGATCTGTATTCTGTACAGTAGAGCGTTATTGACCCGATATTGAATCAGCATACTCTATGGTCGTGCTGTTGCAACAGTCAGATATGTGATGTGCAGTCATAGTAGTTAGGTATTCGGGGTGGTCACCTTGAAGACTGTGTCAAGCTCCGATGTCGCCGCTTTGTACCCCCTCGTCGCTTCCTTCCCCCAGGATTCCATACTTGGCCGCTCCTTGGACATGCTCTGGAAACAACTGATCCTCCTCAGCGGCAACCGCCAAATTGGCACTGGTCTGTAATGTCTAATGAGCACGCGACCAAGAGCAGTTTGCATTGCCTAATCTAGAGCACATACCGAAGCAGACACCGGAGGCTCGTTCTTCTTGTGCTCATGGGTGAGGGTGTGCGCATACATCTTATCGTCGATGGTCTGGGCGCAAGTTCTTCACAGCGGTGTTGAGCTCAGATGGACTGCTCACCGGCTCAACAACGGACGTGTGCACTTCATGTTGCAGTGGCACCGTATCGGCTGTCAGTTTCGGATCCTTCCTCTTGTTACTCAAGTTGTCCTCAGGCTCGGCCTGCATGGTGAATTTTCTCTTTCGCATTCGCCCTGCTCGGCTGGGGATCTCAATTGAAGCAGAGGCGAGTATGCGTGCTTGGAGGTCGGCCCTATCTTGAGCCCACTCCTCGGGCGTCATCCTCGCTCGCTGCTCTCGCAAATTTTGGATGAACTTGCTAGGCATCTTAAGCAGTTAACAGGGACGGTGAGACAGACCACAGGAAAGGACGAGGACAGTTGCAGCGATGGAGCTCTGTCCTCTCCTACACTCAGCGTCCGAGACGCGGCTGTGCTTTACCACACCATCGGGAACCGAAAAGTGCCGGTCACGTGTCCAGAGCATGGGATCTGTGAACAGCAGACCGTCAACGATCCGTAACAAAATGTGATCAACAAAATATCTGAATTATGCCGTCTTGGTGAAGGAAACAACATGGTCGTAAAGCTTCTTCCTCGTCTCCTCCGTGCTCCACTTGTTCGCACCAACATCTTCTGCGTGGTTGTCCCTCCAGAACGCGCCCTTTACGAACTTCTCCGAGAGCAGCGGGCTCACCAGCCACTCGCCCGCCGTCGATACTGATACAGTGATGGGATAGACAAGGGGGAGGAGCAGCTTCCCCGCGAACCCACTGATGAGGGACGTGCGGACGCCGCCGGGATAGATGTGCGTAAAGGATAGGTTCGGATACCGGCGGGCCATTTCCTGCGGTTCATGTCAGTGGGCAACACTCGGACGCCGCGGCGGATCTACTCACATCGACCATGATGTCGTTCCCGGTCGTCGCATGGTTCGCAGCCGCGGCCAGACCGTACCCCTTCTTGAGATCGAGGTCATCCCAATCAATCTTGGCATTGCCGCCAGCGGAGAGAATCGTCATGACCCGCGCTTCCTCGCCCGCCTCCTTCGCCTTCTCCAGCAAAGGCATGAGCTCGAATACAAACTTCCAGCGGCCATAAAGATGCAGGGCCAGCTTGCGGTCGATGCCCTCGCTCGTCTCCGTCCGCCCTTGCATCGTCATGATGCCCTGGCTGAGGACGAGGTAGTTGAGCTTTGGCAAGCGCTGCCGCAGGTCTGCAGAGACCTTGGCGATGTTGCTCATCAGGGTCGCGTCGCATTGTACAAACTCGTACTGGCTCTGCTCGTTCTTGGGGAAGGTCGCGATGATCTTCTCAGCAGCCTCCTTATTTCTCCCGCAGAGGATGATGTGTGCGTTTCCGTTGGTATATCTCGCAAAGCCTTCGGCGGTGCCTTGCCCGACGCCAGACGTGCCACCGACAAAGAGGGCGACCGGTCGGAACGGAGGGCGAAAGGTGGCGTTAGACGCGCGAACGGCTTGCAGAGTAGGCATAGCGGTAATGGTAGAGGTTCAAGTTATGTGCAGAGAGGTATCAGCATGCGCCATCCTTATAGTCCAGCCTGCCATCCTGCCCGGGGCGGGGTACGCGGCTTGCAGCAAGGGATCGGCAGGCATGGGTCACACGACATGGGACGCGCCCCGGGCAGGGTCGTGGCTTTCCGAAAAGTGACTGGCATTGTCAGCCATCCGACTTTCTCCACGTCGGATATAATCCTCAACGATGCCTAACCGCCGAAATGCCAATCCACGACAGATTCATACAATAACGAGGCGACCCGACGCGCTCCACGAATATTCTCAAACTTCGTCGTGACGTCTCCTCTTTACTTCCTCGCCGTCTCCGTCCCCATTCTGCTCAGCCTCGCGCCCCTCTGCTCCCCAATTTTGACCAGTTCGTACTCCTTGTCGGAATACGTCTCCCAGTGCAGTTCCTACGCAAGAAATGAATACAATGCATATCCATGACAAACCCAAATTTACTCACGTAACTCCTCATCCGGATTTCTTCCTTCTGCCTCGGCCCGCGCCATGATATCCTCTACACGTTGCATAAGGCCGTTCGTCATGTTGTGTGCTGTTAGGTCTTGGAGGTGCTCGGACGGCATGGCAATGGACGGCGGATGGTCGGTAGAAGCCGGGTCGGTGGATGCTGGAGCGGGACCGGCGAGTGATCGTAAGTATGCAGACACGTCCGGGAAGTCTTCCTCCAGCGCCTCAGCGGGCTGTGTCACCACGGTCAATCGATGAGCATAGGCTACGGACGAGGATACGGACTGTCACGCCCTCTTCGTTCCGCATATCCCACGCCGCTCCCTTCTCCACTAAATACCGCGCCGTCTGTACATCCTCCACAGTGTACAGCGGGCTGTCTCCATCCTCATCCAGTACGTTCACATCGCCTCCTTGGGAGATCAGGTAGTCCAGTATGTGCAAATGGCCGTAGGATGCCGCAGCGTGCCTACGCGCAACACGGTGAAACAAGGCGGATAGTTCCTTCGTTGTACGACGTACATGGGTGTATAGGTATTCTGATCAGGTACATTTGGCGCAATCCCTTTCTCGAGCGCCTATCAGCATGACGCTGCGAGCGAGCGATCTGAGCCCTCTCACCTACGCGTCCGACGAGTTCCTACATATGCAGTCAGTTACGGCCATAGTCAGTTGGAAAGTACGCGTACCTGCACGCGTTCAAGGTCGCCATCACCAGCAGCTACCCAGATATTCTTACCACTAGTCGCTACAGGCACCGGCATAATATCAGGTATACGAATCAAGCTTCCCGATTTTGCTGGAGAGGCAAGGTGATCTTCTGGCAGATCGATGTCGACCGGGTACTCTGGGCCGAAGACCGGTTTTGCGTCCGTCCGGCAGTCGGTATTTTAACTCCTGTTCGGGACGGCAGTAGGCCGTCCCGACTCGTTGCTTCTTCAAGGCACCCTGGGATAGACTTGCACATTTGTATAACGTCGATAATCATTCATCATATCGGGGTCATAATACCAGTAGCTAATATACAGGCGTCGCAGGACTACGTCTTGACAGTGTCATTACCGCAGCATTACCAACAATCTGACTCGATGATCAATGATCTACACCTTGTTCTCAACGTAGGCCGAGGCGGGCTTGTCGATATCGTCGATAGAGTGCTCCTTCTCGTCGTACTGAGCGTCGAGGGCAGCAGCAACGTCCTGGCCACCAACGAAGGCATCGGGACCATCGAAGATGGCGGCGAGCTCCTCGAGGGTGGGGCCGCGTGTCTCAGGGTAGAAAATATAGATGATCGCGGTTTCGACGAAGAGCCAGCAGTCGTAGAAGATGTAGAACTTCCATGTGAGGTTCTGGAGGCCTATG